TTTTCTATTTTTGGTATTTTTCATCTGGGGGTGTTGCAGCACCCCCCTAGTTGCACCTATGGCGTATAATTCGTTATACGTATTAAGTATATTACGCATAGGCGTGCGCAGACCTTGCTGACAGGGGGACAGAATGTATATTGTACCTATATAATATACAGTGTGTTCACCGATTTAGGGAACACTGCATTTCTCTGCCGGATTTGTTTGGAAAAAATCGATTTTTTTATGAATACACATTTTTCGAAACATTTCAAATTTTTTTGAGAATTTGGTCTGCGCATGCGCTGTAAAAACTTTTTTTTTAAATAGCAACACCTATTTTTAACGTCACATTCGGATAAACCTATTTTTTTAAACTAATTTTCATGCATCAACTATGGCCCTAAGTTCAATATTGACTGAATAAGAGCCATGTCAATTTTATTAAATAATACATTTTTAAACATTTATAAAATCATTTATACTTAATTAATTCTTATTGGTTACTTTTTTAATATTTGACGTATTTTTTTTTTAGAAATGTTATAAACAAGATTAACATAATATGGATGCAACATTATTTATTAGAAATCGACTAGGTACAAGTGAACAATAGTTATTTTATAATTACACAATAAATTAAATAAATTGTTCAAAGTTTTCTCTCTATTTTCAGCACCTCCGCCGTAGCTCCTGCTCATAATGCTCATATTATTAGAGATCATTTAAATTGGATATATTCAGTCAATATTGAACTTAGAGTCATATAGTTGATACATGAAAATTACTTTAAAAAATAGGCCTATTCGAATATGGTGTTAAAAATAGGTATTGCTATTTAAAAAAAAAGTTTTTACTGCGCAGACCAAATTCTCAAAAAAATTTGAAATGTATCGAAAAATGTGTATTCATATACCACCAGTTWGTAAMAAAAAATCKATTTATTCCAAAMAAATCCGGCCGAGAAATTCAGAGTTCCCTAAATCGGTGAACACACTACATACAGTATTAGCTAGTATTATAATATATACTATATAATAATATATAATTGAATATTATTTTGGTTATTAGTATTATTGCTGGCTGCCGCGTATATCAGCTAATAACACACATTATATCAATGCAGTAACAAAGTTGGACCTTTGACAACACAAAATTATCGTGCACCGTATACTCAATATTTACAATATATGTATTATTCATTGACTCATTGTAATATAAAATTATATTATAATGTTTTTTTTTAAAACTATATTTGGGAGAAAAAAAGTAGCCCGCACGAGGGGCAGCTGCCCACCCTGCCCCCCTCGTGCGCACGCCTATGATATTACGCGTGCGAGGGTGCAATAGAATAGGTACTGGTTTTAGTAGGGAATAGGGAGTAATGTTCAAGTACAATATAATATGATTACGACGATAC